TTCGTGTTTTATTCGAAGTTTTTTAGGTCCCGATGCTGGAGGGGTAGCCTAGACCAAGCGCACGCATACCATACGTTGGTGTTTCATTCTTCTTTTTTTTTTTTCGAGTTTTGTATTTTGCGGTCTTGGCTTCTTGACATGTATATTGACACGTCGTTTTCTTCGCAGCTTGTATAAATTTTGCATTCGTACGTTTTTGGTCCTCTTTCGTGTTTAATATTTGATTTCCGTCCGTTTTTTGTGACGTAGATGTGCTTGTCGAGCTTGGTGTACCATGAGACGTTGAGGCTGTATTTCTTGTTGATATGTGTCGTTTCACGTGCGAAGCCTGTTCTTGTTCGTTTTTCACGCGAACGGAAAAACGCGTCGTCTGCATGCATGACATTTGTAACCTGGTATGTTTCAAGTCGGTCGTTGCGTTTGTGTTTTCCTATGATGTCGCCCGCTTCGTTTTTCTTCTGACTATTTTGTGGGTCTTTTTGTGGTTTTCGTCTTATATCTCGCGGCTTCCTCCCGTGAGACAAATGCTTACTGCGTCTTCCGCAGCCGTTCCCACATGAACCACAAGAAAGTTGTTTCGTGTACGTATCAACAGCAGTAGTCACGACCTGTGGGGCTAAATAGCGAGGTAGGTAGCTCTCTTTTCCGGCTTTCAGTTTGGAAGCGGGGTTCAGGCAACATGCTATTAAGATCAAGTACCTTTTTTTTTCGTGAATCGGTCGAGGTTCCGCCGCGTGAAGTTGGGAGGTCTATTCACGGTCTGTTGGCGACTCTTGAGGTCTGACCGGATGTTGAACCCAGGCTCCGCACGCTGGATGTGTCACAAACCGTGGCCGACCCAACCCCACCCGACCCTAACCCTCACCCTCACCCACGGCTAACGCACGGCTTCCTGTAGCGGCCGCGAACTGGGCGAGAACGCGGCTCTGGAGAGGAGTCCACCGCCCGAACATACGCTCGCAGATGGGAAGAGGCACTAACAGGCCGTCAAACTATTGGAAGTTGGACACAAATGAAGAGCGGGGGCGGGCGAAAATGTTGCGAGAGTGTTCACTGTCCACAGAAAACGCCTCCCTAATAGTGTTCGTATCTCGGTACTGTTGGCAACCAAGATTGCAACATTTCCAACCGCTAATGAAGGCCTTATCATCCCAGATAAAAACCACTTGCGGGCTCGGGTTTGCCAATTAGTTGGATTCTGCCTATGGGAGTCCTACATTTCATGGCATTCGTCTGTTTGGAACTATTCTACAAGGGCTCTCTCCCTTGGCCACGGTATTACTTTGCATGGTACACAGATTTATTTGTTTCATCAGGTCGGCAATCATCGACGTGCACAGCATGGTCTGTTTGCTCTCAACCAGCGATAGCGTACGGCGGTCTTCGACACCCGCCCCCGTCACACCCACCGCCACTTCCGTCTTCACGAAATCGAGGATCACCCCCAATGCTAGCGCCACCGCACACCCAGCACGCGTGATTGCCACTCGGTATTTTAAGGTTCCTCCACACCAAAAAACGTTTGTGTACCTATGGTAGACACAAATCTCGTTTGCGTGCATGATTTCACCCAGTGGCCGATCGGTGCGCCACAGAACGCCGCCCCTCCACCATAATACTGCGTAGCACTCAGTCCGTGCTCGCTCCCGACAACAGCAGAGCAGCCAACGCACAGAAAGTGCGGTTGAGTGCACGCTTACAACTACTCCCATGTATCCCCCTCCCCGCCCCCGGTACTCGCCCCCGCCTCTGCCACCAACTCCCCGACCATCGCTGGGTCTTCCCCCGCCGCCCCGCCCCCGGCCACTTGGCCATCTGCCGCCCCCCCTGCCCCCCCCGAAGCCACTGTTGGCGCCCCTCGCTCTACCCGCGCCACTGCGAGAGCTCCCCCCCCCCCCACCGCCCGAACAGGCAAAGCCGCGG